AAGTTGACTTGAACAATACCAAATGGCTGAGCTTGAGTATTTTTTAAAAATTGTATACGATGGCTTAAAGCTTAGTTCTAGCTCTTTGATTTACATTTTTGATCTAGAAGCATAAACTTATCTTATTCAAAAGGATCTTAGAAACTCGTCCAAGTCAAGTTTAAGCTTCAAATTACATGTTTTACTTTTGAGGATCAAATTATTAGTACAGTCAAACTCAAGATTCATTTGGTGAGCTTCTTCGGACCAAGATTATAGATGTAACTAAACTAGAAGGGAAGTGCATGAATTCTTTGATAAGGGAACTAAACTTACAGTGTACGACTATTGAAATATTTACTTTCTTTGTTCAGTCATATCTTAGACAAGTTGGATTTTTTTATTTTGTTTTTACTTGTTTTCGTATTTAGGGCATGTTTGAGCCACATTTTTTTCAAAAAAATACATTCTTAAACAGTGATTAGACATCATTTCAACCACATATTCTTCAATAAATAATATTACGCACAAATCCAAATTTTTTATTTTTATTTTTTAACCACACATTTTCCATCAATTTACTATTTTAAAATTCATTCTAAAGAAAATAATGTGCCTGAAAGATAAGTGGATATAAGAAGTCGTGTTGTTGAGATCTATCTAGCTGTAAATATCTTTGGATTTCCTCCATTTGAAATTTTCTTCTAACCGCTCAAACAAGGGCTTATTTAGAAATTTAATCTAGTTTTTATTGCTATTAAAGAATAAATTAGGGTAAGTCTTTATAGGGCTGGTTATGGTAGGTTTTAATAGGAAAGAAAAATTATAGGGCCGGTTATGGTAGGTATTAATAGGTAAGAAACATTACATTAGGTTTTCATTGATGCGGAAAATTATGATAGATATAGATAATCATAACTTTTCTATTTTGGTTGTTAGTAACCCTGTAATAAGGTGTTTCACTTTATATTTCTTAATATACAAAAATTACACAAAATTTCTATATTTCTTTCTATTTCTACTTTAACTAATTTTTTTACTATAAAAATTTTACCATGAAGTAGAAGAAATATTTAAATAATACCATGTGGTCCAATCTAACATCTTAAATTTTTAGATTAAGTGGTACGAGAATTGTATACATGTTAGGCTTTAATAGAAAAGAATAAATCTCGCCGACACAAGGGAGATGTACTGAAGAGAATATTAAAATGATATATGTGACCTATCTAACCACTAAAACTTTGAGATCAAGTGGTTCAATACATTATATCAAAATTGCTATGATGCAATTAATTGAATAGATAAAGATGGCAATACAATGAACGGAGCCTTCTACATTTGAATTAGCCTCTTAGGGGTTAGTTGAATGTGGATATCCTTTTAACCATATATAGGTACAAGAAGAGTTTTTCATCAATGAAGTATTATGCCAATACATAAACAATATCTCATACATTCAAATTTTTTGGATCTACCCAAATTATTATTAGTTACAACTTGGCCGACTTTATGAGAACAAATTTTTAGCTTACCTACTTTATGACCTTGTTTACAGAGATTCTAAGTCTCTTATCTGAAATATCATTAATAGATAGTGAAATTGCAAAATAATACAGAGACTCAAAAACAAATCTATAACAACTGCCCAACTCACTCTATAAAATTAGCTTGTAAAGGTCGGATTCCCAATTGGTTATAAACCCCGTAAACTAAGTCTTAGTCTAGCAGTGAGAGATACAATTATGATTATTATATTCCACTCCTCTTTTTAAAACCAACGTCCACTATAGCCCATATTTCCAACTAGGTGACTTCAAATAACAAGTAATTTAATGAAAGTAGCTCTCCCCAAGTCTCCCCGTCTGCAACGAGGGTCATCCCCAGAAGGGTGCTCCTCCCTTTGAGAGTCACCCTCCACCCTTAGATCCTTTTATTGCTTGTGGAAGTATTTCAAAGTCTTTATAGCATTTAATATATTTTCAGGGTTGATGGTAGCTCATATTTACAAAAACCTTACGGTTTCACTATTGTACAATTAACATAAAAATTGTTGTTCTTCATAAAATGAATGTGTAAATGTGTAACTTTCCTCATTATGGTCCCACTGCACTAAAATTAATTGAAATTTGTGCTATGAAGAAAAAATTTTGAAGAAATTCTGGAGTTATGCCTTAATAGTGTTCATCCAAACGAAGTGAGCACCAATTGTAAATGTTACGAGAGAATTCTTATCAAGTATAGGGGCATCTTTGTGTTTGTTGAGCTTTAGTGGATGAAAAATTCCCTCATTTTGGATTAGAATGAAAACTACTCTTTTCTTGAAATTTGAACTCGAGCATTTAGTCCAAAGAGTTGTAAAATCTGTTAAATTTTTTAATATGAAAGTTCATACTATTCGCGGTATAAATTTTCTGGCTGGGGTATTAATTGGAGAAGAACATGTATTCTACATAGTGGGCCCGAACTAGAAGTGCTAGGCTAATTTACACACCTCTAATACTTTATTTATTTTTATCTGCTGTCTTTTTTGATGACTGCACTTTAGAGATATAGAATCATGTACAAGGAACTGAACTGCTTATTCCTTTCTCTAGGTGCTGCCTGAAGGAAGCTGGTATTGTCCGCAATGTCGTTGCCTGATTTGTGGGGATGTGGTCAATAATAAAGATGCTTCACAATCTCATTGCTCTTTTAAATGCTCACAATGCGAGAATAAATGTAATTTTTCTTTGAATCTGTAAGGGAGTGTTTTATCAGATTTCATGCAACTCAAGGACATTAAAAATAGGCTAAAGCATTCTTTAATCCACCTTTTATCATCTGCAAAATTTACGTAAAATTTTTCTATACATGTTAATGTTTTACGCTACTATTGCTTATTAATCCTTCGTTTCTTACTTAGAGCGCTCTCTGTGTCTATGTGGAGGGAGCAGGGGCTACTAAGGCCCCGTTTGATTCTCATTTTTCCCTCTTTTCTTTTCAGCCACAAATTTTTTATTAAAATAATATTACACGTAAATCAAAAACTTTTCATCCACTTATTCTCCATCAATCTACCATTCTAAAATTCATTTTTCCATAAAAATGGGTGTCAAACACCCTCTAAATTCAAAGTCACTAACTTTTTAATGTATGCAAATAGATCACAAGACATGCATTCAAAGGAAGGGCATGAAAATCGAGTTTTCCCCAGATACCTGGTTGTGTGGCGAATGGTGTCAGGAGGTAAATCATTGGTTTCCTTGAATGTATTAGGTTGATAATATCTGACAAACTTGTTAAGAAAAAATTCTTGCATATAGTAAGGGAAGGTAAACAAATCAAATATAGTTTCTTCATGTGGCTTCCCTTTAATATGAAATGATCCACTCCATTTCCATTTTTGTTACAAATTTAATACAGTTCCAGATCAGTCATGAATTATATAGCAGGGCATACATCTTAAGATGCTTGAGTGATGATATTTGGTATTAAATACATTGTCGGTAGTTCTGTATAGCGGCATCACACACAGACAAGCTTAAAGCACCAAGTTCTGGATAGAACTTGGTGCTTTGATTTGAAAAATCCTATCTTGATCTCAAGTTGCCCTTTTTTGGTAACGAGACGATGGATGTTAAATGTTTGCCTTTTCAATAATTGCTTTATTAATATTAGAGATTTATTCTTTCTCAAAGTGTTTTAGTACTCTACACCTAGGTACTCTGTCCTGTTTACTGCTGGCTGGTCGGTAACACTGTGATTCATAGTTTTACATCGAACATCTGCCTTATGGGATCTTTTCTGGTTTAACTTCCCCCGGAAAAATACCTGTTCATGTTTAAGAGTTGGTAATAACTCGTTTTGCTAGACCCTGCTAGCACTAAATTGATTACTTGTCATATTTGTAGACTACATTGAAGAGATGTTGCAGCAAGGATCAAGGGCATGCATAAAAATCTTGCAAAAAATTCTTAATGAGATTACTTGTCTAGAAATTTTTTGTGTTGCTCAGTATATTTAGCATAACCATGAAATGTTATTACATAAACTCACATTCTTGAGGATCAAAGATGAATTGTCTGAGTGGAAGTGTACACATGAAAAAATGTAATGATCATCACGTCCCGATGGAGTAGCATTCGGATAAAGACCAGTCTAAATTTCTGTCATTGTTGAAAGGCAAGTGACGATATTGTTTGGGGAAAAGATATAGTTTTGGGAGGTGTAAAAAATGAAATTGTATTAATAAGTTTTAGGTAAATTTGACATCAACTCTCTTCCTTTGTCACAAGTGACCGTGGATAGCAAAAAAATTGAACTTGTTCCTCTTTTTAAGATTTGTGTTGGAAATGAGAACGCGTTATTATTATGGTTGAAAAGGTTATGTTTTTGTAAAGAAGGTAAACTATGTAATAATTTTTTATTTCCATTACTGCTACTTGTTTGGAAGTTTCATAAATTGCATTAGCTTTTATTTGATCATCTGTAATATTCTGATCCCGTTTGTTTTGATTCCCTGAGCAGGTATACTCGGGTCTTCAGTCTCGCATTGGGTTGATCAATCGTCTCTCTGATGGCTACTCTTGGACACTTCTTAAATGCATTAATGGCGAGCCAAAAGTTCATTCTGACAAGTGCTTTGTTACTTTGAAGGCAGAGTGCAACTCAAAGCTAGCTGTTGCAATAACGATTTTGGAGGAATGCTTTCTTTCAATGGTTGACCCAAAAACAGGCATAAACATGATACCTCAAGTCATGTACAACTGGGGGTAATACTGTTATGGAACATCCTCTTGTTTTCTCCATTTATACATACCTTTCTTTTTTGTTCTACCACTCGTAGCACCATCCTAAGTTTTTCGTATTTCTGGGTAGATTCACTAGGTGAGCAATCACAGAAATATTTCTCTGGTTCTGAAAATCAACTCTTACAACCATTTTCGTCCGTTTTAATTATTATTTCCTCTTCAGCAGTAAAGTGCGGCTGTATCTAGCAAAAATGGAAAGTTCAAGTTATTCCCTCTGCTTACCCTTCCAGATATTATTTCTTCAAAATTTAGTTTCTGTCATCTGCTTAAGTTTTGTTGGTTTTATTTCTGATTTAACTGATTCCCTTAAGTAGGATGGCCAAATCTGCACTCTGTATGAACTGTATGAAGTAAACTTCCATCTCTGGTCTTCATTGCATCTTTAAAACTGGAATACCCCACTCAATAGGGTTTCGTTGCTGAGATGGTGCAAGAATGCTATTTTATGTCCTATAACACTGTGTCTTTGTATTAACATCTCATCTAAAATCTTCAGTAGTAAGAGACGGATCACGTGTTCATTTAGATCTTGTTTTCAGCACTTCAAATAGCAAAATTAAGCATTTTCTTGTAGTTGTTGGAGTGTTGCTACCGTTTGTAGGAAGTTGTTGAAGTGTTGTAGGATGTGCTTATTGGTTGTAGTAGGTGCTACCAAACAATTATGTTTGAACTAAATAAAGCTCAGATTGAGAACCTTCCTTCAGATGCTATTCAGATTTTTTTTCCCTCAACTATGTTTATTGATATGAGTTCACTTCCTCCATTTTACATCTCTAATTATGTTAACAACATTTGATGGTAACTAAACTCTGGAACTGAAAACAATGAACCTGTGTTTCTTTCAGATCAGAATTCGCACGACTGAACTATAGTGGTTTCTACACTGTGGTTTTGGAGAAAGATGACATTGTGTTGTCTGTAGCATCCATCAGGTAAATTGCGATGTAGAATTTGTATACATTTCTTCAATATACTGTCTTTATGTACCTTTGTGCCGTGTTATCATCTCCCATCCCAAAGTTTATCTAGGAGACTGTTGCATTCTTACATTATCACATGCTTGTTGGTGCTTCACTATTTGATTAATTCAATAATTGTTCTGTTGTTTGTTCCCAGTAACTTGGCAATATTTTTCATAATGTGAAATTTGACCTTAATGCAGAATCCACGGGGTTACTGTAGCAGAGCTGCCTTTAGTTGCAACTTGCAGCAAGTACCGTCGAAAGGGACTTTGTCGGCTCCTTATTAATTCTATAGAAGAGGTAATTTAATAGCACCATTTATTGTGTCTAAAAAAATGTCAATGTTGCATATTTGGCACCATATTAAGTGGTTCATGATCTTTCCAATAAGTGTCCAAGGAATAAACTAAAAACTAAAAGTTTGATCTAATTGGAACATAGCAAATTGCAAATGTTCTCGGAATTCAGATAAGGTAACTTGGGGCTGCCTGGTTGATAGCATGGAGTTAATTTTCTTTAGGGGGAACTTTCCATGAGATTAGGGAGATTTTTTTGGTTGGGAAATCTATCTTATTTTGTGGGTTTCTAGGTAATTGTGCGTCTCACATTCCCGTAATTTGGATGTTTCTTAGTGGTGGTGAAGTACCCAAGAGTGATGTTTCGTGATATTTTGTCCATAGCTAGATTTTCGAGCTTTAGACGAAAGCTTGTGTTCACATTGTAATTGTTAAATGTGATGGTAGATTTTCCCCCTCCACACAAAGGCATTTCCCACATAAATTTGGTTTTCATTTAATGCATATTATTTTTCTTTCATTTAGTTCGTGTTTATTTGGCTTGGTTCAGCGTGTTTGGCATAATAATTTGTTGTAAATTTTCTTTATTTGATGGGAGCAAATCCCACAATTGGAATCTGTTTTCTTAAAATTGCTGTTTGTGAACATTTAAAATTTAAGCATTTGTTCTTTCTAAACGAGTTGTGACTTTCCATTGCGTGCCCATGTCTACTGCTTCTGTATGCATGTTAGTAATTTGAGTTCAGTTGTGGCATTAGATGTTGAAGTCCTTGAAGGTCAAGAAGCTCATTGTATCTGCCGTCCCCAGTGTAGTCGAGACATGGACGAAGGGTTTTGGCTTTGAACCCCTGGAAGACGACGAGAAGCAAAGTTTGAGCAGAATTAACTTAATGGTGTTTCCAGGATCCGTATGGCTGAAGAAGCCTTTGTATCAGAATGCCATTGATCAAGAAAAAGGTGAGGAATCTTTGTATTTGAGATTTTGTTTGTCTTACAAGAGCATGTTTGCTAAGCTTAAAAGTAAGAAAAAGGTAACATACCGAAACATATTGATAAAGCTACGACGAACATGCTCTTTATCACTTTCGATTAACTGAAAAATGAAGCATCTCATCTTTTACTAATGCATTTAACATATGCACATGTATGTTCAAGAAACCACCCATATTGAGACAGGATCAACCGATGAACCAGAGGGCATGCGACTGCGATCTGGATTTGTCTGTTCAAGAAGCCAAAACCGCCACAGAAACCAAAAATGGTAATTGTATCTACAATCCAGTGAAGAACAAGATTTTTGCGCTTTTCGACTTGGATTCTAAAAACTTTTCACTAATGAAGTGCTTTTGTTCTCAGGAGGTAGCCAACTTGAGGTAGTTCCCTATAAAGAGCCCAAGGAGATGTACACTTAGACAGAGAGGCAATTGTTTGTAACTGCAGAAAAAGCAGTGTATTTGACTATAATCTGAAATCAAATATTTAACATGAAATCTGAAACAGATCTTGTGTTTTTTCTTTCATCTTATTCCATACCATTTTTCTTCTATTTCACTTGTTTTTTCTACTTTGATACACTCCCAAACAAAGAGTAATAATGTTAATCAACAACCGTGGTGATGGTGATGAATAGCAGTCGGTGACGATGTGATTATTATCACATTGTTCAATAAATAAAAATGCATAACTTCAGTTGACATGATCGTTGTCTCAGTGTCACGTAGACTGTTAATGAATAGCATTACTAAACAAAGAAATATACACTGACACTAACTTTTATGCCGTTTCGCCTTTTTTTTTTTTGTCATTTTTATTAGTAGGTGTATTTTTGTATAATTTGAGCTTTCCCTACAGTAGAGGATGTGCTTATCAACTTAGCCAAACAT